TGGCGAATCCAAGACCGTATGTCATGGCAAAAAAGGTGCTCATATGTAAAGGCCCATATTTCCCATAAGCATTCTCATCGAGATGGAATTTGGAATCAACGATCTTTGATATATCATAGAGTGAACCATTTGACATGAAGAGATCACTGGAATATATGGGGAAGTTCTTGGCTTGGTAGACGTTGAGCCAGTAACTGACAGGCGTCAACACGTACATTACAAAGAAGAATCCAATGGCAACATTGGCGGTGGCAAACCATGGGCTAGCCAATGGACTCCCAAGATATGAAGCAATTGTAGACCAGTCAAATCCCAAGCTACCGATTCCAAGACCTTGTAAGCCCGAACCTAGTTGCTGCACTAGGACAGACTTGGGAGCAAGCCAGCAGACCCAAGAGATCGATGTCAACATTGGGAAAAGAAAGCCCGGAAAGATGTAGTAAGCGAAGCCACAGATGAAGGTTATGAGGAAGAACTGTGTCCTCGTTGTGCCGCCTTTGGGTCTATGCTCCTTCTCATGTAAAGCCCTGCAATAGTTAATACATAAAATTTCGAGCTTGGATCATATATAAGAAGTTCACAAAAGCAATGAAACTCAGAGAGTAAAAATCAGAAAATTGTACCCAACACATTATCTTGTTTGGTTTTCAAACTCAAAAAACTGTTTTTCAGTTTTTAGTCTTTAATGAATTTTTTCATATTTTAGTTAAGTTAAATATTTCTAAAGAAAATTCAAATAAAAATACTAAATAATGCCGGTTTGGTTTGATTTTTTTAAAACGGTTTTTAGATGAGTTTTCATTTATTTATTTTATATTTTAATCATTTTTTTTTTCTTTTGTACTTTTTGGATTCACCCAAATATATCTAAAAAGTAAAACAAATTGACTAAAATATCAAAAAAATAAACGAAAATTCAAATAAAAATTTGTGTGCATTTTTATTTGAATTTTCGTTTGTTTTAGTGAATTTTTTTTTTTCGGTTAAAACTTTTTTTACTTTTTAGATGTATACATATCTAAAAAAAATAAAAAAAAATTGACTAAAATATAAATAAAAAGTTCAATAAAAACAAAAGAAAATCTGTTTAAAAATAGTTTCTGAAAATCTAAATCAAACGAAGCTGTGTGCAATCTTTTTTTTTGCACTTTTCTGTGCACGTATAACAATTCGATTTACATCAATACCTGAATAATGAGACTTGAACCAGATTACTCGGCCACCACATCTCTCCTGGTTCAACTAGATATTTACGGAAAAGCCCCGCCCAGCCAAACCCCAAAACCTACAATTTAAGTACAAAAGATAAATATCATGCAGAGAAATTGACTATTGTCGACAAGCTATACACGACATTAAACAATTTCTTTCTCTTTTTATTTCTTTTTTGCAAATCAATAAAGAAATCCAAGATGCAAACACAGTTTAAAAATATGAAGTTTGCGCGGCGTGAGATAGAAGTACCTGGGTGGTAACCATGACAATTAAGGCAGGAAAAAAGGTGAGTTTTTTCTTGTAAAAAAGCTTGACAGCACTCAATATATGAGTGGCATAAACACTACCAGCACCAGAATTAGCAAAGATTGTGATCAAAACATGTTCTTTCACATTGAACGGTCCTGGATTCAGAGTAAACTCCCAACGGGTACCCTTAAAGAAGACCCGATCCGTGATGATCCGGGCCATCAAGTGGCCCAGAGGCACCACAGCAATCTGTGCAGAAATTGAGGTGACAGACAATGGCTCCTTACGGTACCAGAAGAACTGGTTGATGAATGATAAAAGAATACAAGAACCCATTCCCAAAACCCACATTCTAAATGTCAGCACCGGCAGCGTTGGATCGTCGGTTTTGGGCACCGTCACGTCTACTTGTTTGATCGAACAGGTGTCGGAAACCGCCACATCTTCATCTATCTCCGCCATGAATGATGATGAAACAAAGTCTAAATCTAAATACACTATAATTCTAGACTCTCTTACGAATGTATTTAGTTTTCATAGATAGATAGAATATATAATGGTGATTGAATGAATGTGGGAAGAGATAGAGTCTATAATGCTAGGGACATATACATTAATTTGGATTGGATTGGAAAGAGGGAGGAGAGAGAATCCTGGGAGATTACGAATTGCTAGAGATTCTGTTATAAATAATAAAATAATAAAAAAGATAAACATGGATTCTGTGGTACGAGGATTTCAAAATCAACAATATTACAAATTCATCTTTATTAATTTAAAATTTATTTAGAAAAAAAAATTAATAATTAAAATTCATCTTACTCATAAATTTACATTTCATCAATTTTATCTCAACCACACAAATCCATTCGAGATAAATTAATTAATTGTATGACCATGCAAATTCAGACTTATTTTGAGAAATATGTTAAAAGTTAATTTTTTAAATTTTTTTTTTTTTTGGTCTTTATTTGAACAAACGTGAAAAAAATTAGAGAAGTGATGTGATTCAAAAAAGAAAAAGGTAAACTACCAATAGATTCAAATAATTGAACTTAGTCCTATTGAAAGTTAGTCTTAATAAAAAATTTGCTAAAAATATTTTTTTGTGACGACTTTTTGCATGTCGCTAAAAATTGGCAATTGGTAATTTTTTGTCATAAATTTTATAAATTCTGGTTAAAACTTACAATTAGTAACCTTTTTTCCGTGACAAAATTTTCAAATTATCGCTAAAGCTGAAAATTAGTAACAATTTTTTTTTTGTAACGATTTTTTTAAATTGTCGCTAAAACTTATAATTAGTAACTTTTTGTAATAAATTTTTCAAACTATCACTACAAATTAACAATTAATGTTATTTTTTTAATAATGTTTAATAAAAATGGTCGTCAATTACTATAGGACCTATTTAATAATAAGTTTACTTATTAAAATTTACACGTAAATCTTCCAAAGCCGAAAAATCAATAAGCGGGCTTTTATTAATTTAGTTGCCAAAAGAGACCTAAATGGATATTAATGACTTAATTCTCATGTTCGGACCGTAGAGATCACTAATAAGGATTTTATTTTGATCATTTGAATTGTTCATTTTTTATATTACTTTCTGTAAATCATTCACACACAAAAATCAAGTCGATCTGATATATGAAACTACATAATATCATATTTGTCTTCAAAGAAATAAACAACAAAAATAATTTCAAAAATAGACTGTATATTTTTTCATAAACAAATATGATAAAATTTTACAGTTACAAATATCTTATCAATCTAATTTTTTTTGTATAGATAATTTATACAGTGGCCTAAAAAACGAACAGTTCAAATGATTAAAAAAAAGACTTTTGATGAGACTTACGGACCCGAACAACACCGTTCGGTTCAGTTAGACAACCCAAATCATTTTTGTAAGGGTTGGACTCCTCTTATATTAAGATGTCAATATGAAAAAAAATTGTAAGGCCCAAAAGGCTTCCTACAGGTTTCATTTCGATGATATGAACTATTCATTTTGTAAGTTCCCTCTATGTATATCATCAATGAAAAAATTTAAGTCAATCTGATAATTATATTCTTTTCATTTTATTGCATTTGTCTCTTAAAAAATGAATGATCTATTTTGAATATATATACATATATATATTTTTTGACAAATGTAATAAAATAAAAAAGTTACGAATATTAGATTGAACTAATTTTTTTTTTTTTTATGGATAATATGCATTGAAAAACTTACAAAATGAAAGATTCAAACTATCAAAATGAAATCCGAGCCCTATTGACCTCTCAAATCAACCTGAAAAAAAAAATCAATATTAAATTTTCTACCAAATAAATGACCAAATATCTCAAATAGATGTGGGATCCACACTTTATGAATCTCGCATTCATGTGAAATATTTGACTAATTATTTAGTAGAAAATTTGAGCTTATAACATTTTCCTTTTATAACTCTCTTTTTTCCTCAACGCACTTCCCTTTCTTATTATATAAATACATAAGAATATAAGAAAATTTTAATTGGAAACTTTCTTACAAGGATCTCCTCTTGTGAGGAATCTCATTAAAAGCTTGAAATTATTGTGAAAGCCTCCACCTATTTATAAGAAAAAAATTCTTTCAAAAAAACTCAAGAAATCCATGTAGGATTCAATCAAATGTATTGGAGAGAATATTGAAATTTTGATATCCCTCCAAAATTTTTGTTCTTTTTTTAATCAAATTATTTGAATTAAAATCATATAGAGAGAATATTAAATATTTAATTTCCTCTTCCAAAATTAAAATTAAAAATATTTTAAAAAATATTATTATATTTTTTAGTAAAAAAATATTAGGAAAAATATTTCAGATAATTTAATTTTTTTAATTTTTTAATTTTTAATTTTATTACTTATATTTTTATTTAAATATAATTTTAATATATTTATTACATCACGATTCGATTCCGTTTCAACCCGACGGTTGAATCAGTGATCCATCCACTCGATCTCTTTTCCGGTTCGTTCATTGACCCGATTTTTAAAACATTAGTTGAATCTAATCAATACTCTCCTACCTGTCACACTTCTAAGGCCATATTTGTTTGGATATTTGGAAAAGAAAGATTAATAATTCGTGAAACTTATTTAAAAAGTGTTTAATTTGAGATATCACATCAGTGAGGAAATTAATTCCATTGGCAGGATTACCAATCTTATGGCGGGGTGGGATTAGAAATTAAGTGAAGAGATTAGTACATTTTAAAATAAATTTTAAGTAAAATTTATATTTCTTAAAACAAAAAAAATAATTATAATATTAAAAAATTACTAAAAATTTTAAAAATATTAATTTTATAGATTAATCCTATACATAGTATTACATATCTGGTAGTATACAAACAAATACTTTTTATTCTATATCTCCAACCTAATACCACCACACTAATAATCTATTCACTCAATCTCTTAATTTCCTCCATCCTATAGAACCAAACAAACATGACCTAAACTTTTACAAGAATATCCACAACACTTTTAAAACATCATCGTTTGTGTTGTTAAACATTATCCTTAAATTTATTGTTTATAAACTAATTTGTTTAGGGATAAACGGACCATAAGTGTTAAAATTAAAAAAAAAAAAAGGTAGAACCCACATAATTAAGTATATGGTGAATCAAAAGTTGACACCTATCATTCCATATTATTAGAGATAAAATAGTAGAGATTTTATTAGGAATTCAAACTTTTTCCTAACTTCACAAAATATTTCAATTTTTAAAATTTGAAACAAAGCTGCTACAGGGCCTGAAATACCCAACGACTCGAATGGCTCGAAATGGTTTCCCTCCGAAATTTTGATACACGTGGAGCTCACGTGTTCTGCACAAACTAATGAAATAAAACAAAAACAAGAGATGAGAGAAGGGAGAGAGAGGGAGGTTACGACCATGACGACAACGGCGAGAGAGACGACCATGACAACGACCGACCTGGTGTTCACTGACGAGCGTCGTTGACCACCGTCCACCGTTGTTCGAAATCTCCATGCTGAATGTCCTAAACATTTTGTATCTGTGCATGTAGGTAAATAATTGGTTTATTTGAGATACATTCGTCTCTTACTCATAAATCTCATGAACAGATGAATTGTAGGAACCAGATTATCTGTGCAGATAAACAGATTATAAACAGATAAACAGATCATCATAAATCTCATTTGTCAGATAAACAGGAACCAGATAAGCAAATTATAAACACATAAAATCTCATTTGTCTCTTACTCATAAATCTGATAACCAGATTATCTGTGCACTTCAGGAACCAATAACTTATTTTCCTAAACAGATTGAACATCTCGTTATTGGTCAACATTTTTTTTTCTGAGATGCATTTGTAAGAGGCAATTTATTTGATTTGATCTGTGTATGTTAAAAAAAAAAATTGGTTGTTCTAGAACCAAGCCCTCTGTTAAACATTTCCATGGTAGTGATACATGCCAATTGTTTGATGAAAGTCTGCATAGAGAAATTGCCCTGATTTTTTATGTGTTGGTTGATGAAAGTCCTGATGCTAATCTGTGTCAACTTTCTTGATGCTAATCTGTGTAATTAAAGTCCTAAAAGTCCTGATTTTTTATGTGTTGGTTGAGAAATTATGTTTGAAACTAATTTTGTCATTTAGGGTAATTTACCTAATCTCAGTGTTCTTAATTTACCTAATTACTGAGATCATCTCAGTGTAAGAATTAACTCATTACTGAGATCAATGTGTTGAATTAATCTCAGTGTTGTTGAATTAATCTCAGTGTTGAATTCATCTCAGTTGGAGAACCTTAGAAAAATTGAAATGCACATGCATGCACTTACACTTTATTTTCTATTTGGTTTGAAGCTCCACGAACTACACACTTCAATGGACATTGATTCAACCAATCTTTCATTGAATGGGAGTGAGGAAGTTGAAAAGGTGGAGAACAATCCGTCATTAAATAAGATTGGTGAAGTTGAAGAACCTAAGAAGGGCATGTGTTTTAGCTCAAAGCAAAAAGTATATTCGTTTTATGCAAAATATGCGAAACACCTCGGATTTGTTGTAGCTTATAGAACATAGAATATTGGACAAGATGGGGAAGTAAAATACTTTGGAATTGAATGTACTCGGGCACGCAAGAGAACAAAACGATCAGAAGTACACCCTCTCGAACCATCTTTGTCATCATTCATTGAATGTAAAGCAAAGGTTAGAGCAACTCTACAAAAGAATGGAAGATTTAAGTTGATCATAGTTGTGCTTCAACATACGCATGACTTGATTCCTAGTGACTCACGACATTTTGCAATGAATAAGAGAATTCTTACCCCTGTGAAGAGAATACTAGAAATAAACGATGAAACAGGGATAAGGGTGGCTAGGAATTTTCATTCTATAGTTGTTGAAGCAGGGGGGTATGAGGCATTAATATTTGATGAACGAGATGCAAGGAATCATATTCAGAGTATGAGAAGATTGAGGCTTGGGGTAGGAGATGCTGAATCAATTGCACTTTATTTTCA